ATGGATGAAAGGAAGTATCCAAATAACGATGGGGGCTGCTGATTAATAATAATAATATAATAATAATAATAATAATAATATAATAATATGGCCCTCTCAAAGTTGCCCAGAAGGAAATGTAGCTCTCCGGCTGAGAAAGGTCACCTACCCTTTGTACAAGGCTTAAATATCTACCAACTCAAAATCAATGGGAAGGGGGGCACAATTACCGTATTTTTCGCTCTATAACACGCACCAGACCATAACACGCACGTAGTTTTTAGAGGAGGAAACAAGAAAAAAAAAATATTCTAAACGAAATAGTGGATATATGATTTTTGTGGTTCATGCTGTGGCCACATGTGATCTGACAGTGAGTTTGGAGTAGCCCAATGCAAAAATCCTGAGGATCCATGTGGATCCATGCTTTGTAACCAAGGAGGAGAGAAGGAAGGGGAACCATGGATCCTCTGCTCACGACTGCAGCAGATCCCCCCCGCCACCCGCAGGCATTCACTCCATAACACACACAGACATTTCCCCTTACTTTCTAGGAGGAAAAAAGTGAATGTTATGGTGCAAAAAACACCGGTAATTTCGACTGCATCTCACCCAGCATGAATTCAGCATGGAAAACAAACGGAGGGCAGAAAGTTTAAGAAACATTATACACTTTTAATGCCCTGTTTCAAGTCGAGCTGTTTATCTAGGTGGAACACATGCAGCTGTATCAACAAGAAAGTGCAACCTGAAAGCAAACAGTACATTTTGTATTTTTTTGTAATTCTCCTTTTCTTCACCTTGTAAAGAGCACAGAGATCTGTGCAGAAATAGCCTCGGTTGGAAATTTAGTCAACAAGACTGCCTTGGCTGAGGTTGCACTCTGGAAAAGGGCTCAGATTTGTGGCTTTTGGATTCTGCTTATTAGTTCTGGACTCCGTGTTTGAAAGAGAAACAGTGGGTAGAATTCTGGCACACCCAGACAGCTGTGGAGTAGCTTGGTTTTCATTGCATCTCAGTTCCTTTTGCAAATGGAACCATTGCACTGGTTGTGGGGAACATGCAGTTTCTCTTTCGCTCCCACTCAGGAAGTGAGAGGCTGGGAGAAGAGAGGGACAAAACTTAAGATGTATCTGTGAGAGAGATTTCTGTACTTATCCATCTCTTCTATCTTTTCTCTATTCTTCCCCCCCCCCTTCATTTTTACTTTTACTTTTTTGTGTGTAATTAGTTTGCCTTTTAATGAGAGTGAAAGAGGAGAGCGCAAAATATGGTCTGAAGCTCAACATCAAAAAACGAAGGTCATGGCCACTGGGCCCATCACCTCCTGGCAAATAGAAGGGGAAGAAATGGAGGCAGTGAGAGATTTTACTTTCTTGGGCTCCGTGATCACTGCAGATGGTGACAGCAGCCACGAAATTAAAAGACGCCTGCTTCTTGGGAGAAGGGCAATGACAGGCCTAGACAGCATCTTGAGAAGTAGAGGACATCACCTTGCCAACAAAGGTCCGTATAGTTAAAGCTATGGTTTTCCCAGTAGTGATGTATGGAAGTGAGAGCTGGACCATCAAGAAGGCTGATCACCAAAGAACTGATGCTTTTGAATTATGGTGCTGGAGGAGACTTTTGAGAGTCCCACGGACTGCAAGAAGATCAACCTCTCCATTCTTAAGGAAATCAGCCCTGAGTGCTCACTGGAAGGACAGATCCTGAAGCTGAGGCTCCAATACTTTGGCCACCTCATGAGAAGAGAAGATTCCCTGGAAAAGACCCTGATGTTGGGAAAGATGGAGGGCACAAGGAGAAGGGAAAGACAGAGGACGAGATGGTTGGACAGTGTTCTCAAAGCTACCAGCATGAGTTTGACCAAACTGCGGGAGGCAGTGGAAGACTGGAGTGCCTGGCGTGCTCTGGTCCAGGGGGTCACGAAGAGTCGGACACGACTAAACAACTAAACAACAAAGTTTGCCTTTTATTGTGGTGCAAAAAGTGTTAACAAAACTTTATCATAAAAAGCATGGGCAGGCAAACTAAGGCCGAGGGCCGGATCTGGTCCAATCGCCTTCTAAATCTGGCCCATGGACAGTCCGGGAATCAGCGTGTTTTTACATGAGTAGAATGTGTGCTTTTATTTAAAATGCATCTCTGGGTTATTTGTGGGACATAGGAATTCGTTCACCCCCCCCAATATAGTCCTGTCCCCCCCCCACAAGGTCTGAGGGACAGTGGACCGGCCCCTGATGAAGAAGTTTGCTGACCCCTGATAAAAAGAAAGAAAAAAGAAACATTTAAACAGAAGGGGGCAGCATTGAGGCAGAATTGAGGCCACGCTTTGCTTGAAAGACGAGACTGAGAATGAAGGAGGGCAGGGTTGCAGGTGAAAACTTTTGCTGGGGTATCTAGTTGCTGTGGTTCTCCTTTAGAAATAAAAATTCACTGGCCACATCTTCCTTGAGTTTCAGTTGAGAGCATGGCAGGATATGGTGCTGCTAATGTATTCTGGTCCAAAACTGGCAAGATGCTAGCTCGATATTTGTGCCCTAAAGTGCAGGAGTTATTTTGGCACACAGGTTGCAAGCTCAGATATGGATCAGGATAGTAGCAAGAACAGGAGAGTTTCAATCTGCATAGGAAATAGAAGCAAATAGGGGCCTTGATCCATTTTTTGTTGTTTAGTCGTTTAGTCATGTCCGACTCTTTGTGACCCCATGGACCAGAGCACGCCAGGCACTCCTGTCTTCCACTGCCTCCCGCAGTTTGGTCAGATTCATGTTTGTAGCTTCGAGAACACTGTCCAGCCATCTCGTCCTCTGTCGTCCCCTTCTCCTTGTGCCCTCCATCTTTCCCAACATCAGGGTCTTTTCCAGGGAGTCTTCTCTTCTCATGAGGTGGCCAAAGTATTGGAGCCTCAGCTTCAGGATCTGTCCTTCCAGTGAGCACTCAGGGCTGATTTCCTTCAGAATGGAGAGGTTTGGTCTCCTTGCAGTCCATGGGACTCTCAAGAGTCTCCTCCAGCACCATAATTCAAAAGCATCAATTCTTCGGCGATCAGCCTTCTTTATGGTCCAGCTCTCACTTCCATACATCACTACTGGGAAAACCATGGCTTTAACTTGATCCATAGTGGGAGATAAAGTATTATATCCCCCTAACCCTTTTCTCCCTGCATAATATATCCTGCCTTTCCCCCAGAATCAGGACTCAAAGTGTCTCACAATTTAAGGAGGGGGATTCAAACTCCCCTACTAGCTACAAGCATATAAAAAGTTGCAGGTTTTTTAATAACGAATTGCTTGTGCAATTAAAAAGCCCATATATACTTGGCTCTCAGTCCAGATCAGTCCCAATTGCGCTGGTGATCTTGAGGCAAGAGGACAACGATTAAGACTATAGATACAGAAATTACAGAATCACATTGTAGAGTTGGCCTCTTTTGAGCAAAGTGGGAGTTCCTCCAGAGCAGCAGGGGGCGCCACAGCAATGCCGTAGAATGGAGAGCGAGAGCTGGGGGTGTGTGCACCATGTTTTAGCATCGCACAGGGCACCACTGAAATTTTGAGAGCTCCAAAATCCCCCACTGCTTTACCTAACAGTAGGGCAAGCGGTGGATACTTGTCACTGTGTCCCATTGTGCCTGAAGCGGTTTAGTCATGCTGGCCACATGACCCGGAAAGCTGTCTGTGGACAAACATTGGCTCCCTTGGCCTGAAAAGCAAGATGAGTGCTACATCCCATAGTCACCTTTGACTGGACTTCAACATCCAGAGGCCCTTTAGTTTTTTTAACCTTTACACTAGACAGAATCTTGGGTATAGACTAGGGCTGGGCAATATTTGGTTTTCATCATCGTAATATATCAGCAGCAGATGCCTGATTCTTGTCTTCCAAAGCAACTACTCTATTCCTAATTAAAAAATGGAAAGCGTAATGCTGGTGATCAACAAAAAGAAGTTTAAAGACTGTCTCAAGGCAAATCTTTAAAAAAATGTAGTATAAACACCGGCAACTGGGAAACACTGGCCTGCGAGCGCTTCAGTTGGAGAACAACCTTTACCAAAGGTGTCATGGGCTTTGAAGACACTTGAACTCAGGACGCAAGGAAGAAATGTGCTAAGAGGAAGGCACGCTTGGCAAATCCACACCATGATCAGCTCCTGCCCGGAAACCTATGTCCCCATTGGTGGAAGGACATGTGGATCCAGAATTGGCCTCCACGGTCACGTACGGACTCATTGTTAAAACCGTGTTTATGGAAGACAATCTTATTCTGCTACAAGTGATCACCAAATAAGAAGATGATGATTAATCTGCACATCGCAGGCATGTGGACTTCCACGTAATTTGCCCGGACCGATAGATGTGAGAACTTGTAGTGGCCAGGAGCAATGGTCCCCACTGTGGAAGTATGTGGTGGATCCAGAATTGGGCCTCCACAGTCACTTACTGAATCACGTTTTAAAACTATGTCCTATGGAAGACAATCTGACTCAGCTACGAGTGATGCCAAAGAAGATATCAGCAGCTAATTTACCCATGATATGCTGATATATCACGATGTCTGGAATGCATTCCTCAGCTGCTTCTTCCTTAGGCAGGCAGGTGGAGCTCCGATATAATTTATCAATATATCGCCCAACTCTAGTATAGACCAGCGGAATCGAGTCAGGTTCCACGCTCAAATGCCACACATTGGCTCAAGACACTATCAACCCTTTCCAAATTGTGTGTGATAATGAAACAACTCCCTATTCTTGCTTTTTTGAAGAAAGGACTGGATCCAGCTCCGATTAACAGCAAGTGACCTTTCCCGCTGTTTGAATGTGGGATGTTTCAGCAGAGCCGAGGTTACGTACGGGGAAATTTGCACAAAATGAAAAGGAGATTAGCAAGCGTGTTTGAAGTCCGCGGAGTGGGAGGTGCTGCTTACGCTTGGGTAAAAATAAAAATAATGCCACAATATTTACTCCGTCCCCCCTCCCACTCACCGGCAGGATGTCTAGAGTATTTTCTGCTGAAATTGTTTAGTCTGCTAGATTGCAGACGTCCCGGAAGCGGACAGAAGCTATGCCGGGGGATGTTTCGTTGCAAGAGTCAGCATGCTCCTCTGCCTCATTGGGCAAATCATCTATAAAAGAGAATAAACATTGTGTACCCAATAGCTGCATGTGTGTAGACTGGAGCCCAGCTGAATTCCTAAGTCCACTCCCCTTATTACGTTAGCAGGGCATATCGTTTTTTTCGCTGCTTGGTTTCCATTTAATACTTTGGGTACAATCAAATGCATGTCTGCTCAGAAATAACCCCTGTTTAATTCCCCTGCATTTATTTCATGATAAGCGTGTATAGCAGAAACAGCCAGTATGGGATCCTCCAGATCACTGGCCATCATTCCTAACCATTGGCCATACTGGTTAGACTCATGGGAGTTGTAGTCCCTTGACATCTATCGGCTACTTCTGAGATTTCAGCTCGCGAATGTGTTTTATGTCTATATATTTTATGCAGAAAGCTGATTTGGATGCTTTACGTGAGTCACATACTCAAGTCATGCCACACACTTCTAGCCTACGGTTAAGGAATTAAGTATATTCTGAGGGATGGGGAAGTACCCATTTTACAGACAGGGAGGTTTGTACTTGAACTAGTCTCCAGAGCCTCCAACATTACCACCAATGAAAGTAAGGACATTCTATTCCATACCCTCCAAAATTTCTACATTGGAAATTGGGATGTTCTAAGGAAAAGCGGAAGGGACGCGGGTTGCGCTGTGGGTTAAACCACAGAGCCTAGGGCTTGCCAATCAGAAGGTTGGCGGTTTGAGTCCCCGTGATGGGGTGAGCTCCCGTTGCTCGGTCCCTGCTCCTGCCAACCTAGCAGTTCGGAAGCACATCAAAGTGCAAGTAGATAAATAGGTACCACTCCAGTGGGAAGGTAAACAGCATTTCCGTGCAGTGCTCTGGTTCACCAGAAGTGGCTTAGTCATGCTGGCCACATGACCCGGAAGCTGTACGCTGGCTCCCTCGGCCAATAAAGCGAGATGAGCACCGCAACCCCAGAGTCCGGCCACAACTGGGATCAAACTGGGGACATTCCGGGATCAAATCAGAAACCTGGGCAGCTTCTGTAAATCCGGGACTGTCCCTGGAAAATAGGGACACTTAGATGGTCTGTAGTCTCTGCATCAGCCTAAGATATCCATGGCAGAGAACGCAACGGCATATGCAAAACTCAAGGAAGTGAGCCAAGCCAAGGCCGTGGGTCTTGCTTTGCTACTGCTCCCCTCTGAAGAGAGAGGAAAGATGGCTGGACCACCCT